CCCAGGTGCCCTGGCCAAAACCTTGGGAATCTTTCCAGGCATTTTTCCATTTCCCTCACTGTCCACATCCTTAAAGATACTTAATGAGGTTGATTTTATACCCTGAAAAGCTCTGAAATTTGTTCTTCCTTCTTGATCTCCACTTATTCTTAGTTTAGATCTTTACCACTTTACTAAGATTAGTTAATTTATATCCTATTTCCCGTTTTGTCAATTTCAATTTTTTGAAAATATGTTTTTATTGATTTGAGAGAGGGGAAGGGAGAAGGATAGAAAGATAGAAACATCGATGACAGATAGAAACATTCATTGGCTGCTGACCAGGAATTAAACAGGGGATCTCTTGGTTCTTGGGTCAATACTCAACTACTGAGCCACATTGGCTGGGCTCAATTTAATTTATTGCGTATGGGGAATGAGCTACGGTGACAGGGGCAGTAGGTGATAATTGAGATTCCACAGGATCCCTGCATTTTTACTTTTCAATGCGTTTTTGATGCATTTGAATACTTCATGTGGACAATCTTAATTAGATACAGGTAGTTCTGTTAGACTCTTTATACATCTACCAGATGCTCAGTGCACGAAATTTGTGCACTGGTAGGTTCCCTAGCAGCTGCTGGCTGCTGGCTGCTGGCTGCCAGCCGGGGCCTCCCTCCCTTCCCCTTGTCAAACTCCCAGAAAAATTCCAGTTGATGGGACAATTTGCATACTATGCTTTTGTTATATAGGATTATTATTCTTTTTTTACTTAGGATATATTCTGTTATCCATCAGTACCAGTAGAAACCAACAGAAAGTATAAATGAAGGCTAATAGAGAAGTCACCCAAGCTCTCACATTTACCAGGGAAAAGTGTCTGCGATGGTGAATACCAATTTGCATACATGGAGAATTTCTTACAAAATACCAATACGCTCACAAAATGTATGTTCCCCCAATTGGAAAGGTCATTCCAGATGTGGAGATTTCATCTCATGAAGATGCTTACTGAGTGTCAAAATTATTTCACTGAATATGTTTAAGCT